GTGACATGGCCTTTCACCTGTAACCCATCTTTAAAGGGTTAATATATTCTCTGGAAATGATTTTTTTTTTGCAAGATTTAAATATTTTAGAAGAAAAATGTAATAATATTAATCTGTCACCTGTTTACTCAGTGACATTAATGTATTTGTTTGACTTTATGCCTGTAATAAATGAACATCCAAAATGTGAATTGCAGGGAAAGACTAAAAAATTGAATGAAACATATAAATGTGGATGTGATCTGTATTTTTTATGCATATATGAGTTTCTCAAAAAAAGCTTTGTACATGTACAGCTATGATTAGTAAGAACATAAAAAAAAAAATTAGGGTGACATAAAACCATCTACCTTCCTCCATCTAGATTATCCCTCACTCACAAAAGTACCAAAATGTCAAATCCAATTTGAATTCTGTATTTACATCTACATTCCTGTCTAACGATAGCTTGAAGTTTAGGGTAGTAGGTAGAACTGGACAATTAACTCAATTAATGAATATAATTGATTACCTATGAATATTAATTAGGGTCATGAAAATAATCAGTTAATCAAAATTAGTGTTTCTGATTATTCCTGTTTTAAATTATTTCAAGTATACAAATAATCAAAATCTTACCATTATGATTTCTCATTGTTATTTTTTTATTCAAGGTTGTTTAGTTTAATCTGTTAGTGTAATGACTCATGAAAGTAATCAACTAATCGAAATTCGCTTTTGTGAACAACCTGTGTGAAATATTTAGTGTCATATTCTTTGATTTCTGTTCACAGTATTGTAAATTATTTGATGAGGTTGATGTAAATGTATCTTTTGCTAAATGCATTTACATTTTGATATAGTTTACAGAAGTCATTTTTGCAAGTGCAGGTAATGTAAGAACTTTGTTGGTTTGCTTTACAAAACTTTTTTTTTTCCACTAGGAACCAACTGATTACAAAGGGAATTGTACAGAAATGGTAGATTCCACACCTCAAGCAAATGTTCAAGCTCTTAGGGCATTGTTTGCCCAAAGAAATGACCCTGTAATGGGAGTGATGCAAGTAGGCTCACGATTAACTTCTATCCGGAATTCTTCATATGAAAAAAATACTGAAGAGAAAATTACCAAGCCATCAGTTAATGAAAATTCCAGTATGAAACCTAATGTTGGTTATCCTATGGGAAAGTCTGTATCCACTAGTTCCATACTTATTGCAAAGTCAAATTTGTTTACTAAAACAAATACACTACCAGTTCAACAAAGTTCAGCATCTGTAGTATCCAATGGCTCAACCTCAGAGTCTAGTCCTGTGGGTTCTAGCAAACCTAAGCCAATTCTGGGACCAAAGCCAACAATTGCTGTCAAGCCTGTGAAATCATTTTCATCATCCTCAGTTGGGAACAGTAGTTCTGGTAAGGCTACTAACAGTATGTGTATATCAAGAAGTAGTAGCTCGTTAAACAGTCAGTCAACAGACAGCATTGCTTCGGGTAATGCAGAAGAGGTGGATGAACAGAAAAACTGTAATAATGTTTCTGAAACTATTACTCAATCTAATCTTCAGTCTGATAATCCACCTGTTGTATCATTTACAGTGAAGTTACCTTATGAAAATAATACAGATGGTATTAAACAAAGTGGAAACAACTCAAATGCATCACCTAAGAGTGTTCTTAAACATTTTGACTCTTCTAGTGTAATTAATTCAGAAAACTATATATGTAAAGCAAACTTACGTTATCGAAAGAAACTTTTACCTCCAGTAGAAAAACTAGGAAATCCTCCATTGAAAGCACCAAAAGCCTTTCAGTGTTGTTCTTCCCACTCCAGATATGTCCACATTTAGAAATAAAGGAACTGCACCCCCTCTTCCATCAAGGACAGTTCCATCATCTGTGCAAAATAGTGTACCAGGTTAGTAATTTGTTCTATAGAGGTAAAAAAAATAATATGCAAAATAAATACAGTGTTGGGAAAAAATGCCAAAACTTTTATATATAGGCTGTGTGGATCAAAAAACATTTAAATTTTTTTTTAATTTTTCAGTTGTTACAATCTTATAAATTTATAAACATTATTATAATAATTGTGTGATATAATGTTGATTTGTTTTTTAAACTGCACATGGTTTTAGTGTAATCAGTTGCTATAAATTCCCCCCCCCTCCCCACCCACACACTATCAGATTACTTGGCTGAACTATATTTTAATTGTTTAGCTGAACTCCCATTCTTAAGTCCAACTACAAACATGTTGCTTTGCCATTAATTTTCATATAAATGATCATATTTTATGAATGATTTGATAAGAAATTTGAAATACATTTATATAGTTATCTGATACTAACTGCATGTAGTTTTCAGAATAGCATTTTAGTTGAGCAAAAGGAAAAGAACTATATTTGTTATTGAAGTTTTTAATTTAACTTAAAGTAATTGTTCATAGAAACTAGGATTTTAGTGTGGAAGTGATTATTGAAATAATTCTTAGTTATATGTCTAATTCATAATTATTGAAATAAAATTTAAGAATAGTTTACCTTAAAGGTAAAAAATAAATCATATGGAAAACTTGATAAACATGTTGCTGCTTTCAAAAAGTATAAAATTTACAAAGATGTTATAGTTTTAAGTATACTCAGGGGTTGAAAAGGATACTGAAACATTTCAGAAGCCTGATTTAAACTGCTTGGAGCTAGGGAAATAGGATTACCCAACTTGTGAGTCAGGGAGTAGCACACACACACTTAAGGATAAGAATTGGAGAGTTTATTCCTTGAGGTTTACTGCTTTTCACAATTGCAGAAGCTAGACACTGTTGAGTACTGGGCTTATAATGAGAACAATTACTTCACTTGTTACTAACATGACGTTAACATGTAGTGAGTACATTGGTTGATTAGTTTATGAATTCCAGTATTACTACATGGTGTGATTGGATGAGAAATCTTGGGTAATTCATTCCTAAATGGCAATTAACATTTAGATGTTCTGTGGTAATATTGCTGTTTTCATTTTTCTTCAAGTTAGTATGTATTTTGAAGGTTTGATAATAACCTTTTTTGTTAACATTATATGAAAAAAGTGATGTTGACATAATATATGGTCTTAATCACAGAGCAATATTTATCTGACTTAATAGTTTATTGACTTCTATAGCACTTTGTTGATCTGTTTCTTCATCTGTTACGTATCGGTGGGTGAAGTCTTTCAGTATAACTAGAGTTACTAAAGTTATAATATTTTACTAAAAATTATTCTCTTACTACTGAACATGTACCTAATATGCTATTTTGCTCATGTTGTTATTATGACTGTGTTAGTACTGTGCCCTTTATGGAATTACACTTATCTTGTATAATTGCAAATAAGATTTTGTGTGGGAAGAGTAGTATGTGATATAGAACACATCTATGCATAGGCAATTATATAAT